AACTTTGGGAACAGAAAAGCACTTCGATATCTATTTACACTATTTTACACTTTATTTTTACTTGAACGTTATTTACACATATGTACAGGGTAAGATGACTTGAGGCCAGAGCTCACATTAACTACTGCCTATAGGGCAGAGTTTTTAATTATGGTTTTACAAAATAAATATTGTTAGAAAAGAACTAACTTGTTGATGCTTGTTACCATGTTGCTCGCCGTACAGACACGGCACAACTGAGAGAGAAAAAAAAGGAAGTGAAGTTTGACGCAGGCAATGTTGCCAGTGCCAGACTTCACTGCCTAAATTAAATTACAGAAAACTGTAACATTATAAAAGATGTTGGGAATAGATTCCAACAAATAGCAAGTCACCCTCGGGTTGAGCATAACTCCATGGTGAACATTGTAACTGGACACGCTCACCCTGGAGTTAAAACCAGCTCGGAGGTGATTCGCTATTGAGAAACCATTGCCTATATTTTTGTTATTTTGAAAATTCTCGACCTTATTTTTAGGAAAACTGAAGTCCAAGGGCGACGCTTGATGAACATTGACCATCTATTCAAACAAATACTCACTGGAGAAAAACATGAAACATTTGACTGCTCACTAATTAACATGAAATTGGTTAGCGAAAAAAGAAACGGCCTTTTTTCTAAAATGCGAAATGAAACTCGGGATAAAGTGAATGTCAATTCTTCTTTTGTTTTGGGATCAATATCTACTGGCATTGGTCTGGGCTCCGACCCTAAATATGCCAGTAATGACACTCAGTACTTTCAATAAGTATCATGAACAAGTTGCCAATTTTATCAGGTCATCAGCTTGGCAAAAAATGTAAGAGGCGGCAGCAGAAGAAGCTAAATTATCAACAGATTCAGGGAACATTGACGAAAACGGAATACCTTGTATAAATGTTGTTACAGATGGAGCATGGGGGGAAATGATCATAATGTGAACTACGATCTGGAGTGGTGAGCCCTTTTTTTTATTTTCGTCATATGTATATACCTATACCGGGTGCCCACGAGATCACTTTCCGGCTGCCATTTTTTTATTTCTGTATCGATATCAACGAAACTTGGTAGGGTTGATATTCTAATCAAACGCTATTTTTACGCATTTATGACAAGTTTTCCTAACTTCCGGTTTCACCGGAAATGACCGCAACTTTTGATTTTTTAATGACATACCCTGTATATTTTTTGTTTTTCGGATTCTATAGATCGTTTTACATCCTAATGCACCACTTTTGAATCGATTTTTGTCCAAATTTTGTTTTTTTAAATAAATTTTAATTTTTTAACTAGAGTGCCATGATCATCCTAAAATGACTCCACATACTTTACTTAATTTTAGAAAAATACAAATTCAATTTTATCTTTGTGAACTTTTTTGATAGAGGACTGTAAACTTCATTATTTCAGTATTTTTGCCCTAGCTCAAAAACTAGAACAGAAACATATCACTTTCATAACATTACTAAATGCAGTATTTTAAAGCGAATCAATACACTATGACATTTTTCTTAATTTTCGTTCAAATATTTTTGTAGGTAATTTTTTTTTTCTACTTAAAATTTGATTTGAAAACGAAATTTGGACAAAACTCGATTTAAAAGTGGTACATTAGGACGTAAAACGATCTGTAGAATCCGAAAAACAAAAAATATACAGGGTGTGCCATTTGAAAATTAAAAGTTTCGGTAATTTCCGGTAAAACCGGAAATCAAGAAAACTTGTCAAACATGCATAAAAATGGCGTTTCGTTAGAATATCAAGCCTAGCAAGTTTCGTTAATATCGATAAATAAATAAAAAAATGGCAGCCGGAAAGTAATCTCGTGGGCACCCGGTATAGTGAGCGATTTGAGTTAAATTCATTATGTTTAGCCCTTATTAAGAACAGTCTTCGTCTTACGCATAATTAAAGTGTGATTCACGATATATGGTCAGATTTTCAAGCCCGAAATTTAAAAAAAAGAAAAAAAAAAAAAAAAATGCGCATCAATTTGAAAAAACACGTGATTTATTTTTCTTGGGCCACCCTGTATTTAAGTGAGAATAAATGCCGAAACCCACTAGCAACACGCCACGCCACCCCACTCCATGTGATACAGGTTCAGTTTGTGTGCAAATGGGCGGATGGCGTGGCGTGCCATGGCGTGGTATCGCGTATGGCAAGTGTGTACGCAGCACATATAAATAAATGGAAAAATATACGCATACATTTTCGTCACATGGCGTGGCGTGGCGAAGCATGACGTGGCGTGTTGCTAGTGGGTTGTTTCGGCCTTAAGCCTAGAAAACGTGCAACTGAAAATAAAAATTGACGTTTACCTGAATAATAACTAAAGCTTGTTTTTTTTAAAGATAAAAGTCAAAATGACATTATGTTGGCAATGCAATGTAAAATTGTCAATGCTTTCAAATTTTTTATGTAGAAAAGGCTTGTAATGCTAACATAGTTACTAAATTGTTGATATAGGGAATTATCTTAAAAAAAAAACAGACTTCACCCGATTTTTTAAAAATGTATTCCAATCTTTTTGACCTCACTGTATATTTTCTTTTCAACTAGCATGCTAACATCAAAAAATATTCACATTTACAAATAATTCAATTTTTTTAGGCCTGTATTATCGGATACAAGACAGGAAACATTTTATTCTTGGAGTAAGAAATAAATATTGCTCCCTTTGCTCGTGATACGAAAATAAAAAAAAGGAAATCCCTGAGCATAGATGTTTTAACTCTTTCAGGGGCAGGATATTTAGGCAAAAAAAAAAGTCCTAGAGGGGCACCCACTCAAAAACCGTTTATTTGTAGTTTCTGGTATCCAATGAATAAAATACGAGTCCTAAAAATATAAAAACTCAAAAAAACATCAAAAAATTCCAAATTTTTGTAAAAAAATATGTGGTACAATTTTAGTACCACTGCGCACAAACCAAAAAGAACGAAATGTTTTTAATTATTTGGTAGGTGGTAATTTTGAAGACATGTTTTGTTTTTTCCGAGGCAAAGAAGTACATCGCATATGGAACATACCCTGTCGGTCCTAATTTGTTTTTATGAGGTGTTAAAAAGCGCACAGCGACGCCTGGGTCCTTTTTCTCGAAAAAGGGGAGCAGCGTTCTCCTGATGAGAGCGAAGGTTCTGTCTCCGTCGCCCATATTCATATTTTCATAACACTGACAAAGACAGAGCAATCGTTCTCATGGGAACGCTGCTCCCCAGTTTCGAGAATAGACATCCATGTGTTCCTTTTTGGTTGATATCCACTTTCACTTGTGCGTATGTCTGGAGAAACAAATGATTTTTTTTATTGCGATAGTTAGTATTTTTGGGTCGTCAATAAAATCAGCTGGTTTCTGGGGACACGAAAGCCTTGACCAATCACGACTTTGAGGAGAGGTGACGATGGCTTCAATTTGGACCTTAAAACTGGAAGAGGTAGATCATCTTCTGAGTCACTGTATGGTTCGGGTTCCATAAGAATCATGTCATTCTCAGTTTCGTCTGCTTCATCCTCGGAGTTATCAACGATTAATTCTGGATCAGATGGAATACCTACATCTTCAAATTCCTCCTTTGGCTCTCTGTATGTCATTCCGCGTAATTTAAATAGTAGGTCTTCCATCTTACCTGAAGATATTAATTTTTTTTAGTATGGAAACTGATTCAATATTTTTTGTGTTATGGTGCGGTGGTACAATTACCGTACCACGACATATACAAAAAACCTGGACACAAAAAATAAAAATCAACACTTTTACGAAGATAATAATGTCAAGTATACCTCTGCCAGTACATCTAAGCTATCAATGTTAATAAATAATAAATTTGTGCTTACCTTTGTGACTTACTTCTTTGTACACAATAAAAAACCGTTAAAATAGTAGTTGCCGCGTGAATTTATAACCTCAAATGCGTGTTAGCTTGTTTATACCCGGGTAACTGTACTAAATTCACGTTAGAGATGCGCGTGGGAATGCTTGGGCGTTGTTGGTCGACAATTTAAACCACCGCACAATAAGTTACTTGCATTTGAATAAGTGGTACCTTCTCTGGACCACCGCTCAACTAGAATCATATTTGTTTGGGTATAATTTATGTACCACTGTTCCTGAAAGAGTTTTAAGAATTGGACAAGTACTTCTACGGCTATGGAGACCGACATTATAGCAGAAGGCTCTTAAAACAGTGTCACCCAATATGGTCTTAAATATTCGAAAATGGTGGGAGTTGGAGATTCTTCTGTTTTCAGAAAACTGTTAGAAATTAGGCCATATGGAAACACCTTGGTGCAAAAAGTAGAGTGCAAAAATCATCTACTTCGGAACTTTGCAAAGAAAATTGGAGAAATTTGCAGTATGTATTTTTTTTTTTTGTTTTAAATATCAGGAATAATGTGGTTTTTTTATATCTACATAGACAAGAAAACCAGCAATTCTAAGAATCTACCAGTTCCAATGGCACTCAGAAAAAAGGTGTTTTCGACATTCATGCGCCTTAGAAGTGCCATAACCAAAGCCGCGGCATTCAGGATTGAAGAAGCTACAATTTTAGAAAGAAAAGCTGCATTACTGAGACATTACTGTGACATCAAAAACGCACCTAGTCATGTTTTTGGGGAACATGAAGATTGTGAAGCAATAAATTACTTCAAATGTGAAGGTTTAGGAGAAAATGTGGTACCTGACTAGAAGCAATGTGGCATTTACGAAGACATCATGGCTGCACTACGAAGGGTAATCGATCATTCTAATAGCCTCATAATGAATATGGACAATAATTTGGCTGAACGATACAACAGTGTTGTCTGTAAATTTATTAGCGGCAAAAGAGTGAATTAGTCTCTGAGAGGTTCGTATCAGACCAGATGTGAATCCGCATCGCTCTCCTTCAACTCAGGCAGAGAATACCATCGCGTCATTAATATGGCTATTTTTGGAAACAGTCCAAGGACTTTGCATAAAAAGTATTACCAGCAAAGGATGACACAAAGTGCGAGAATTAAAGCAAAAAGGATATTGATGGCGAAAAGAAGAAAAATTTTCAAGAAGCACCTTCCTGATAAAGATTACGGCCCAAATGCTAATTATGTGCCCTTAGACCTGAACAGTCAAGAGTATATAGGAAAAGCAGAAGATTTCTTAAAGACGCTAAAGAAAACAACTGAAGAAATCATAAGAATAGAAAGAAATACACTTGGCCAAACATCCAATCCAAAATGGTTACAGGAAAGATCTCTAAGAATAACGGCGTCAAATTTTGGACAAATTTGTAAAATGCGCCCCACAACTTCGCCAGTAAATGCTGTGAAAAACCTACTGTATGGAAACTTCTTTGGAAATAAGGCAACTCGTTATGGGAAAGAAAATGAAGCAAAGGCTATTGCTGAGTTCGAAAAGTCATTCAATCTAAAAGTTAGGAAGATTATTTCATGTGCGCAAGTCCCGATGGACTAGTGGGCGAAAAGGGGCTCTTGGAGGTAAAGTGCCCTTACTCCATTTCAGATCTAAGTCCAACCAGTGGAATCGTTTTGGGAAAAATAAAATTTGCCCAGCTAGTGAATGACAAGTTGTTTCTTAAACGAGATCACAATTACTATTATCAAGTCCAGGACCAGTTGGCCATAACAACCAGAGACTAATGCTATTTTTTGATATGGAGTCCTCAGGGCATGCTTGTAGAAGAGGTAATTTTTTAAATGTTTTATTTTCTATTTGAACAATATTGATTATTTCTATTTTCTGTTGCAGATTGCACGAGATGATTCATTTTGGCGTGAAAAATTTTTGCCAAAGTTGCAAACATTTTACAGCTGTTTGTTGCCTGAATTGGTAGATCCTCTTCATCCAAAGGGAATACCCATACGCTATAAAGTTGCTGCTATTGAAAAAAATTAAATAAATATGTAAAAAAATTCATCACGTCTTTGATCACACCATAATTTTATTCCCCATGTTGAAATTCCCTACATCCACCTACAATAATCCATAATATTTTCAAAAACTTATAAACGAGCTAGAATTTAAATCGATAAGATTCGGTCCTGCATTGGCCCACAGCCATCATCGGTCAAATTTTAATTTTACACGGAATGAATATACTTTTACCTACGAGCGTGCGGTAAAGTGCACTTTACCGCACGTATTTGCAAATGGAAAGTATCACTTTACCGCACACTATGCGGTAAAGTGCACTTTACCGCATAGTGTGCGGTAAAGTCAACTTTACAGCATAGTATGTGGTAAAGTAGAACACAAAGTGTGCGGTAAAGTGCACTTTACCGCATAGTGTGCGGTAAAGTAGAATTTGATATTTATAATCAAAAATCCTCTCTTATTCAGAAAATGGATTTTTGATCATTTCTAAATTTTATTTTATTTCATTAATTAATCTGATTCATTAATCAATTTTATCAATGCCTTTTTTTGGAGTTGTAGATGCTCATAGGTAAAATTTTGTACCTAACACATGCGGAAAGTGGCTTTACCGCCCTTAACGGCTTGACCGAAATCCGCTTCGCGTCGTTCGGTCAACTGCCGTTGCGTGCGGTAAAGTATCACTTTCCGCATTTGTTAGGTAAATAACTATTACAACATTTTTCCCTTTCCCGCTTCGCCCTTAACAGGTACCGCTGCCTATACTTGGGACGCCAGTGCAGTAATATTGTTGTCATATAGCCGATTTTCGTCTCCCTCGCTCGCGGTCCGAAATCCGGAATCGCAATCGACGCGTCACTGAATACTCCTTTTAAAGACGTCCAATTTTGAACATTTTATTTCCTAAAATAAACGTCTCCATTATGACGTGACGTCTTTAGGATGTCAGAAACTGACGTCATTTGGCTGTGACTTAGGTACGTCATTTGGACGTCTTTATGTACGTAAATTAGTCGTCTTTAGGTCGAAAGTCTTGTCATCATTAGGACCTCATTTAGACATAACTGGTTACCTGGGTTTTTGGTCAACCCGATTATGTTGGATATTTCCGGTTGTGACGTGTGAACACTCTCATCCCGGTCGTGCCTGGTTGTACGTAAAGTCTGTTTTTTTTTTAAGATAAAAGTCAAAATGACATTATGTTGGCAATACAATGTAAAATTGTCAATGCTTTCAATTTTTTTTTATGTAGAAAAGGCTTGTGTTGCCAACATAGTTACTAAAACGAGTGCACATATCCGTAAGGAAGAACAGCTGTGGAATAAACTCCCTGCGACGGTTTTCCCTGCAGGTTACAACCTGAACCGTTTCAAGACCAGCACCGGTGAGCCAAACATCATGCTATCTGGAAGTGCTGTCACATTACAGAGTCAGTTGAACATCTTGGGGGTTACTGCAGAGACCAACATGTCTTGGCACAGTCACGTGGCAGATATTACTAAAAGGGCCTCCCAAAAGCTGGGAGTGCTATTTCGTACAAGACATCTGTACACACCAAGCCAATTGCTGACACTCTACAAAGCCCAGATTCGACCAACTATGGAGTACTGCTCACATATATGGAGTGCAGCACCCAAACATACCTTAATGCTTTTGAATACCGTGCAAAAACGAGCTATCAAGCTGATCAATGACCCCGCACTTACTCGTAACTTGGATGGTCTCGAACATCGCAGATCTGTGGGCGATTTATCTCTCTTCTACAGGTACTATCACGGAAAATGCTCTGAAGAGCTGGCACGTATGATTCCACCGAGAGTAGCACCTACCAGGCGAAGCCGTCAAACAGACGGTAACCATGAATTTACTGTCAAACTAGAGGCACCAAGAACCTCATTATATCAGAATTCATAACTCTGGAGAACAGCATCGCTGTGGAATAAACTCCCTGCAACGGTTTTCCCTGCAGGTTACAACCTGAACCGTTTCAAGACCAACATACACCGACATTTCCGCGCACTTGCCGCTTCTCGAGCGTGATAGGACATTTCCTTGCGAGTGCGCATATCCGTAAAAAAAAAAAAAAAAAAAAAAAAAAAAAAAAAAAAAAAAAAAAATTGACTTGGGGATTTATCTTAAAAAAAGAAACTCGAAAAAAACAGACTTACAGTAACTCGTTGTATGGGGCAAGTATCATTTGAACTATTGACATTTCGGGCAGTGTGAAAAAACAGCTGTTGTTGCACTACTGGCCCAGTAGTGCAACTGTACTGTACTGGGTCGTTCTCGCACGTAGGTACATATCGGACAAGAACAATATTCGTTTAGAAAAGTGCCTTTTGTTTGGCTTCAATTTCTTTTAATATGTAAATGTCATATTATAATAAATTCAGTGTGAAATCGAGTAGACCGTTGTGTAAATTAATTTTTACCAGGTCACCCTACATACTCTATAGCCATTTTCTTTATACCTATATAAACATATTGAATATTAGATTTCTCATATTCCATTTGCCCTACACCAAATTTGAAGCGGTTAATTCCAAACTTTCCAGGGACCCACTTTCTTCGACTCTCTTCCACTTACAACCCAAAAAGCCGGTGTGAAGTGAACTATTACGGTTTAATTTACCAGCAACCGTCTGCCTAGGGAGCTTACAACAATATCTTTCCTAATTCGATCCCTTTTAGAAACCTGATTAAAAATTAAGGAACGGCGGTAAGCCTTCCTGTGTCGCATACAAATGTCTTGTAATCCCTGAAAATCTAAAACGGAGCTGTATTTATCCTCCCTCCCGAGGGACGAAGTAAACGAATTCCCGGTGGGCTTTTTGTTTCGGAGTTTGTTCTGTTACCTAAAAAGTTCATAATATTTTTTACGTCAATGAGATGATACTGAAATTTCGCGTAACTAGTAGATAAATAATTATGTTAATTTCCGACGGCATGCATGTGCAAAGTGATTTTAATAACAGGATGACATCAGGTTAAATACAAATACACTTGAGGACATGTGAGATAAAGCAAAGTTATCTTAACCCCTTTGAGAATATGCTAAGCTTGGCAACTTAGCGCATTCCTACACGATATTAAAATGCAAAACTGAACATTTCAATTACTGTCAGAGCTAGAAATAGGTAATACGGGTTTTAATAGTATGGTAAATATGTTAAATACCTGAGCGTTGTCACAAGCATATCACGTACCTACTATGCGATTCGAATTATGTATCAACACACTATTAGATATACTATTAAACAAATATTTTGTCACTTACGATAACGATTAGAAATTAAATACGAACATGATTTATCTTTTTTGAACACCGCCCCCAACTATCGTTATACATAACAGTTGCGTCAGATTCATCTGTGCTTGTGCGTCTAGTTTACAGTGACAGTATAATTGAGTTTACAATATATGAAGCTACTTTTTACACTTGCAGTGATAGATATATTATCCTATAAATAAACACTTTTACCACTATTCACATACTAGTCGAATGAACTAACCGGTATCAGGGAAGCCTTTATCAGCGTCAGCTTGAAATTGTCATCAAGTAACACTAGGGTTAAGAAAAAAGCTGATGAAATCCTTGACCTGTTAGAAGAAAGACGCCTGCAAAAAGATCAGCCAGCATATCGTCAGTTGAATCGTGAAATGAAAAACAAAGTCAGGGTAGGTAAAGAAAATTGGCTAAACGAACGGTGTAAGGAAATCTAAGTCTTCGAAGCAAAATATGACAGTTTCAATACATAAGAAAATTAAAAAAGCTGCTGGTGTATACAAGACTCGACAGACCGGCATTCTGTTGGACAGTCAATGTGATAATCCTCGATGTCAGCGACAAAGTAAAACAGTGGTGCAGCTACATCGAAAGTCTGTTTCAAGACGAGAGATCGGACATTCCTGAAGAGTATTCACGAGAAGGACTAGATATAACTGAGGAAGAAGTCAAACACGCCATTCAGTTATCCAAAAACAGGAAAGCTGCAGGTCCAGACGGTGTCTACTAAGAACTTATTAAGATCCTAAAAAGTGAGGAGTCACTACACGCATCATTCTCTCTGACTAGCTTAAATCAACATTTGTGACGCTTCCGAAGAAAAGCTCTACAAAAAGGTGTAGCGATTATCGCCTTATCAGTATGATAAGCCACTTTCTCGAGATTTTTCTAAAGAGAATATAGGAATATTATTTTTAATCCGACTTGAAACACTAAAAAAACATCTAGTCGGCATTCATCAAACAAATAAAGGACATGGGCGTCACCCAATTTTTATTTCTTTAAATGGTGATAATCAATATCAAACAACACAACTAAATAATGCGTGGAATAAAACAGCAAATAATGAATAAATTGGGATGACACTGGTTATAGAAATCGTGCAGTCTAATCAGTAGGTTTATCTACATCGTTCCCGGGAAGACTTAAGTAGCCCACCCGAATAGTTAAACCTATATGCGCGGGCTGACCTAAACTATTATTTTGGGCTACTGTAGCGATATTTCGTCGCTGCTTATATTTTGTACAGGGAAACTTATAAAAGATTTTCTTTGAAATTATTAGAAGAGAGTGA